TGCGTAGGGAAAGGGAGGGGAAGAAAAGCATGTCCCAGGTGGCCACAAAGGAAAGCGTGGGCCATATTTCCTTTTTAGGGTGACAAAGGAGGCAAGAAAGTGTTGGCGTTTTTGGTTCCTGACCCGGAGCTACGTCTGAGGGTGCCTCCCCTGCTCAGAACATCATCGTCATCAACGCGGGGACAACTGAAATGCAAGGGGGGAGTGGAGTCAGGGATGGGTGACAGAAAATATGCCACCCACATTCTGCCCATGTCGGGGTGGAGGTGGGGACTGCTCTGGGCTTTTCAAACTTCGGAATGTGACCCATTAATAAAATTTTGTGGATTGTAACCTGCACTAAAAAAAAGTAAAAATAAAAAATTAAGATTAAAATAGCAGAAAAACGCCAGAGTGCATCATACATTACGGATAAGTTTAGTTTCGTGAACAACGTTTCATGTAAGCATTTCTGAAGCTTCTATGTGTTTCTTACGTGGGTCATGATCCCCTAAGTCTTAAAGCCAGTGCAATGGACGGAGAGAGCTGTGAAGGCGAGGCGTGCCCATTCGTCTAATCGTAATAGTTCATGCGCAGTAGCTAAGTACCCAGCATGTGCCAAAAACTCTGCTAAATGCTTTTCTAAATATTAACCTCTAATTCTTACGAGTATTGGCATTTTCTTTTAACATATGAAAAAAGTAAGGCCCAGCGAGATGAAGTGATTTGCCTAACGTCTAGTCTGCTCAGGCTGCCATAACAAAACACCGCAGACTGGGTGGCATAAACGACAGAAATTTATTTCTCACAGTTCTGGAGGCTGGAAAGTCCAGGATCAAGGTGTCGACTGACTCAGTTCCTGGTGGGGCCCTCTTCCTGGTTCGATGACGGCTGCCGTCCTGCTGTGTCCTCACATGGCCTTTATTGCGCGCTCACGTGCAGAGGAAGGGATCTCACGCTCTTCCTCTACTGACAAGGCCACGATCCTGTCGGATCAGGACTCTACCCCTACGACCTCATTTGACAGTACTTCCTAAAAGCTCCATCTCAAATATAGTCACACTGGGGGTTAGGACTTCAACACATGGATTTTGGCGGGGATACGACTCAGTCCATAGCCCCTAATGTCCCACAGCAAATACATGACGGAGTCTGCGTTTGAACCCAGACCTGAGCCCGAGTCTTCCCTGCGTGTTCTGCTGCCTTGCTGACCCAGGCCTGCCTCACAGATGCTGTGGGAAAGTGCAGGACTCACAGCAGGGGCCCCAGAGCACGGGGCCCACACAGCGGCTTAGGGCTCAGAGGTAGCTGGGCTCCAGCTCGGGGCTGTGCACACAGTGCCGCACACTCTGTCACCTGGGGCTTTAACGGAGCTGGCACAGCCGCTGGTGGGTCTGGGAGGGTGACACAGGACCATAGAAGTGGGAGGGCAAGTGCGGAGGAAGCCCATGTGGGAAAATCCGGGAAAGCTGGGAACTCTGCTCACTGACATACCCCAAGCTCCCAGAACCGTGCCTGACACTTAGTAGGTGCTTAATAAAAATTGTGCAATGAATTTTCAATTACCGTTATTGTTATTGACCTGGTATTAGAAGACCTGGGTGTTCCCTGCGTGTAGAATGAGGGTAACAGTGATACTGACCCTCAGGGTTGACCTGAGGATCCCATGGGGTGACCCAGGCAGTGACTATCCATCAACGCCTTACAAATGCTGGGTGTCACAGCCACCACGGAAGACCAGGGGTCCTTCTCTCTGGGCGGCTTTCTGCACTCGGGCAGTGGGGGTGCTAGGTGGGGGCCCTGCTGCGTGTGTCACAACCCCCGAGACTCAGATGGGAGGACAGCCACTGGACCTCAGGATGTCTGTCAGGAGGAAACCTTCTCTTGTGGGGAAGGGATCCTCACTGGACAGAGCCCCTCCCCAGGGAATTCTGGTCCATTCCCGGGACTCTGGGCTCTGCCTTGGGAGGAGATAGACAGCAGCCTGCCCCATGCCTTTGTCTGAGGAGCTCGTAGCGGGTCCAGGGTGCAGGACGCCAGGACCTGCAGATTGGAGACTGAGGCCTGCACCCTCAAAAGCCGACCATCCCTCGAGGGGAATGAGGCGCAGCTGAGTGGGTCCCGGGAAAGGGGTTTAGAGCCAGCCCGGCCCTGAGCAGGGGTGTTTTTAACTGGGAGCAGGGAGGACTATATGGGGGGGCGCCCCCTCGCTGGTGCTGCCCCGGCTGCCTGTCTGCACGCGCTGCCACCCAAAGGTCCTTCTCTTGCGCTCCAAGATGAACGCAAAGACCCAACAGACAGACGCCAGGTCCTCTCTGGCTGGAACGGACCCGGTGGTGGTCACTGTATCCAGTGCCTGCTCCCTCCTACGGGACTGTGGCACAGGCAGGATGTGTAAGGTCTGGCCCTTCCACAGTCACTTTGGGCTGAGCCACCACACCAGCTGCCAGCCACTGGCCTCCTCTTCTGGGTGCCGTCGCGGTCACGCCAAGTCCCATTCCCTCCACCACTCTCCCAACAGTGCACTCACCACAGCCACCACTCTGCTGCTGAACTGGTGGCCTCTTCTGGGCCTCAGAATGCTTGATGTTTCCTTATTCAACACGGCTGCCCCTCGCCGATCTCCAGCTCCCACGAGGCATGTCTCTCCTGCTTTCCCTCCCACCTCCCCAACTGCTCCTCCCCAGGCTCCTTTGGGGCCTTGTCCTCTGACTCCCCCAGGGTGACCACTCATCCTGGGTTGCCTGGGACTTTCCTGTTTCAGCACTAAAAGTCCCACATCCTGGGAACTCCCTTGGTTTAGGGCAAAGGGGGCCCACTGGCCACCCTGGACTACGCCTGGCCCGCGAGGATGCCCGCCTCCCCATCTCGCCCCTCTTCTCTCTCAATCCCTGTGCTCTCCCTGGCTTTCTCACCTACTTCCATGGCTGCAGCTGCCATGTCGGTGGCAACAATCCCCAAGTCTGGGGGCTGACCTAGCTCTCTCGAGATCCGGACCCATGAGCTAACTGCCTCCTGGGCATCTCTGCTCAGATGACTCCTGACAACTCGACTGACCCCGCCATCTGACTCCAAACTGCTTCTCGTTCCATCTGCTGTGACAATGAAGACCTCCGCCACCCACCCAGGAGCTGTATATCCCAGACCTCTCTCTTCCCTCTCAACCCCGCCAGTTAAGGGCCTAATCCTATCATTTTACCTCCTAAATCTTGGACTCTCTCCAAATATTTTGATCCCCACTGTCAGTCCCACAGTGCAGTGACTGTCTTTCCCTGATCAGTGCAGTCCAGAGGAAATGTCAACAGTGGTCATTCCTAGGACAGCACTGTGGTATGGTCAAATTGTGTCCCCCAAGGATATGTTGAAATCCACACCCCCAGTACCCGTGAACATGACCTCATTCGGAAATAGGATTTTTGCAGATGTCATCAAGGTAAGATGAGGTCATTAGGGTGGCCCTACTCCGAAATGACTGGTGTCCTTATAAGAAGAGGAAAATGCCATGTGGAGAGACACAGGGAGAAGCAGGTGACGACAGACACTGCCAGGGACTGCCAGCGACTGCCACTCGTGACCAGAGGCTGGGAAGAGGCAAGGTCAAGATTCCCCCCAGAGTCTCACAGGGAGTGCGGCCCTGCTGACACCTTAATCTTGCACTTCTAGCCTCCAGGACAGTGCGAGAGCACACTTGTGTTCCTTAAAGCCAGTGTATGGTACTTTGTTACAGTAGCCCTAGGAAACTAACAGTGAGATAAGGGCGTGTTTATTTTCTTATTCTTTCCAGTTTTTTGGAGATTATTTGCAGTGCATACATAAGACTTTTATAATAATATAGTTATCATAGTTTCATATCTATGAAAACACAGTTGTAATTAAAAAGAAAGGCTCACTCAGTAAGAATCCTAAACACCTCAGAGAATTTATCTCTGAGAAGCGACACCCACACAATTCTCTGTCCACATCAATGCAGCTTTATTATTCTGTCATCTTCACCATCATGACTTCAATATTCCAGGAAACTCTTGTCCAGGAAGATAAAAGTTGCGAATAATTTTATTGTTCATTTCATGAACTTTGCAAGAAGCATTTAAACAAACCTCAGATCGTTCCACTTTTTAATAGACTGACTGTCTGTTCTACAAGACTCACAGTGTCCGCCACCCTAAACCACCATGTCATGGTCCTTCCCCATCTTAGTCAAGGCCCTGCAGGAAAGACCCTGAACAGCAGACCTGTCTTCCCTTTGCGTTTGCCTTTCTGAGACCCTCTGACTGTCGTGGGAGAATTCTCCCTGACCATGGTCAGCAGGAGACCAGCTCTGCCCTATTGGTCAGCTGATTTGGTGGTATTTTCAGGCATTCGACATCTAATATATTCAAAATATTGTATTTATCGAACCCCAGGAGGTTAGAAATTATCCCTGAATTGTAGCTGGGAAAACAGACTCATCAAGCTTAAGTAAGTTGCTGAAGGCCACCCCGTCAGTAGATGGCAGAGCCTAGGTCCGGCTGACCGCAAAGCTACTCTCCAGCCCTCCCAAATTTAGTGAGACTGCAATACAAAACACACATATGCCAGTGTCCGGCAGCTGCCACCCGGGCCTCAGGACTTGCGTTTCTCTGCCCTAGGCCTGGAGAATGCTCACCATGAATAGCAAATGGGCTTCAGTGGAAAACAAGCCATTATTTCAGGCAGTCCTATTTCCAACAGGGCACTGGTGCAACAAGTTAGCAGGGAAAAAAGAATGAGCCCTTTGCATGGGGGCTGGAACCCAAAGCCCGCTGCTGGGTTTATGCCTCTGTTCATATGCCATGTGATACGGATCCCATGCCACCGCAGGCCAGATTCTTTCCTCCCCCCTCAATAACAAATGCACATATTTGCTTTAAAGTAGGTAGAATTTGCCCATGGTTGGTCTTTGATTTAGAAGAAATCAACCTCAGGGTGGTGACCCACAAGAAACCAAGGTCGCTGGGTTCATTCGTGCTCGGGGAAGGGGTGTGTGTGCAGAACTCACTTACCCAGAAGAAGAAGTTAAAGACAAACAGTAAATACTTCAGGTAGAGGATCAGCCAGTCTTGCTCGGTCTTGTAATGGGCCATGGTTGCTGGGCCTGCAAAGAAGACACACATGCTGGGCCGGGGGTCCGTGGAGAACACCCCTGCCCTTCCCAGAGCCCCAGCCCCCTGGCAAGGCTCCCTTCAAAGGGCTTACTGGCCTGTCTGGCCAGGTGGGCTGGAGGCTGTGGGTATGCAACACGGGGCAAAGATGAGGGAAATGCAAAGGCTACTGCACACCTCCTGGAGGTGAATTTGGACAGACTTTTCTAGACTTTTTGGATCTCAGTTTTGTCCTTTTGACACAGGTCTAAACTATAAGACTTCCACAGACTTTGCACTGGCCAGGTTGTGTTTATTCTCTTCCCCTCTCTCATCACTTTTGCAGGACACAGGTTTACCTGTCCCCCCCACACACATGTACATGCACACACACAGACACATGCTCACATGCTCACATGCTTGGTGTGGCTGCTTTGCATTGGAAATCTGCACCCTGCTTTATTTGAACAGGACATCTGCCTGTATAGGCATGGCATGAGCCCCAAATCAGAGCATCTGTGCCAGAGAGGACCTCAACCATCACCCAGTCCACCCCATCTGTCCTCTGCATCTCAACTTTCTAGCCGAGGAAGCAGGTCCAGACAGGCCCGGGGGGCTGGCAGGAAGTACAAGAGCCTCTGGAGGCTGACTCCTTGGGCTCAAGCCCTGATCTGTCAGAAGGTGTGTGGCACTCTGGGCAAGTAACCTGACCTCCTATCCTTCAGTGTCCTCATCTGTAAATGGGGATAATAATGATACCTATGTCTTAGGGTTGTTTTGAAGATTAACTGTGATAATCTGCATAAAGCGTTTAGTGCAGTCCTTGTCACATAATAAGTGCTTAATAAATGTTAGCTACTGTTATCACATGCCACAGAGCTGGGATAAGAAGCTAAGACTCCCGTCCTAAAACTCCCAGGCTTTGCCCCCACACCGTGCTCCCTCTCTCGTCCTGATGCCTCCCGATGGACTCCCTGGGAAGTGTGACTCAATGATGGTGATGAAGGCAGACAAGGCCCACTGCGCCCGGGGACCCTGTTTTCCTCTGAGTCTGAAGCCCTCTGTGGTTTCCTCCTCTCCTTGAGCTACACGTACCCCGGGTATGTGCACACCTGCACTCACAGAATAGCTGCTCTTTAAGAACTTGTCCCCTTTTGGGAACCTCTTTTATGTCAGAATCATAAGCGATGAGGCATTGGTTTTGCCTGTTTCCATCTTTTCCTCCATCATTCCCGGCCCCATCTCAGGCCCTTCTCTCTTGTCCTCAGCTGGCGCTGGGNGTGCACACCTGCACTCACAGAATAGCTGCTCTTTAAGAACTTGTCCCCTTTTGGGAACCTCGTTTATGTCAGAATCATAAGCGATGAGGCATTGGTTTTGCCCGTTTCCATCTGTTCCTCCATCATTCCCGGCCCCATCTCAGGCCCTTCTCTCTTGTCCTCAGCTGGCGCTGGGCTAAGCCCACGTGGCTTCCTCCTGAGCCACTGCCCTGCCTTTTATTTCAAGCTCGTGGGCTTATGGAGACAGGGCGAGAGAAAGGGAGAAAAGAAAAGGTGGTTGTCTTATTTGGGATTTCTATTTGCAGACCTTGAAGAAGGTAATTTAAGACTTGTAGTCTCGTTAAAAAAAGACTAAACCCATTTTTCTCCAATTTAGTTTGAGAGGCAGGGCGGTGGGAGAAATGCAGAAGGAGAAAAAAAGGGAAGCCTGTAAAATTGGTGATCGAGGGGGTTGGCCAGGCAACTCAAGTGGGAGCTGTTCCACGGTCACCCTGCAGTTGGCCCTGACCACAGCCTGGGGCTCAGGGTCTCCTGGCCGCCACGGGCCCTCAGGGAACTGACAGAGTCTGTCGGGTCCCAGCTTCCTCTGTCTTCATCTCTTCTCCCCTTGCATGTCCCCCTCCAAGCCGGGGCCCACTGGGCTTGTGCTATAGATAACTCTGAAGGAAAATGGCATTTTTAAAAAAGGGCTTTGGGCAGAAGACAGGACTTGACAAAAAGAAACACATTTCTTTCTTTCTTTCTTTTTTTTAAATTAAATTTAATTTTGTCAGTATAAATGTGGTTGATTATTGGGGCCCATTACCGAAACCTCCCTCCCCCCTTCCATGCCGCCTCCCTTGCAGCAACCTCATATCTGTTCACTTGTCGTATCAACTT